GCGACCGACCCGTCGTCGTCGTCTTCTTCGTCGTCTTCTTCGTCGTCGTTGTCGTCGTCGTCGTCGTCGTCGTCGTCGTCGTCGTCGTCGTCGTCGAGGTCGAGGTCGAGGTCGTCGTCGTCGTCGTCGTCATTGTCGTCAGCGTCGTCGTCGTCGCCGCTGCCGCCGCCGCCGCCGCGGCGCTGCCGTCGGCTTCAACGTCGTCGGCGTCGTCGGTGGAGGAGGAGGAGGAGGAAGAGGAGGGGGGAGAAGGGGGAGGCGGAGGGGAGGGTGATGGCGGTGTATCAGTTCCATCCCTGCTCCCCTCCCCCTGTCGTCGTTGCCGCCGCCGCCCCCGCTTCCGCCCTTTCGCCGTCGCCGCCGTCGTCGTCGTCGTCCTCGTCGTCGTCGTCGTCGTCGTCGTCGTCGTCGTCGTCGTCGTCGTCGTCGTCGTCGTCGTCGTTTCGACCCGCGGGCCCCGGGGGGGCTGCGCTGGCGGAGACCAGCGCCTACGGCGGCGCGCGATGGCGGGAGGGCGCCAGCCGCAGCGGTGGAGCAGTCCATCGGCAAGGGCCGGGCTGCGGGCAGGTCCTTCGGAGTCGCTGGTGTCGGGAGGAGAGCTCCCAGCGGGTGGGGCCTGGTGGCAGGGCGCGGCGTATTGCCTGCCCGCCCCGTCGGCACCTGGCCTGTTCCCCATCCTGGGGGTCGTGCTTCTCCAGTGGGCGCAATCGCAGGGCTGGGCGCTCGGCGAGGCGCCGTGGCAGGGCGCGAAGGAGCCAACGAGCGAGATCGGAGTGCAGGCGGATGCCCAAAGGAGGGGGGTCCACCCAGGGCAAGCTTCAGGGCTCAAAACAGTCTTTTGGGCCGCAAGATGACGTTTGGCTGTGGTTTAAGCCTCGTACTTGGCGCTAGCCTTATTTTGAGCGGTAACCCCGCGGGGTTTCGGGGACCCTGGGATCCCTCGCGGCCCCCCCCCTGCTTCTTCTCTTGCCTTCCCTCTGTCCGCTAAGGACCGAGGGGAGGATCGTTTTGGTCGTCGTCGTTTTCGTTCGTCGACCGCGGCTTCGAGGATCTGGTACAGGAGCAGAGCGAGAGCACCGCCGCTGGTGAAGGGCTTCCAGGAGCCGCATGGTATCGGTGAGGCGCAGGCGGCGCCGTGCAGGAAGCAGGAAGATAATGCCACTACCAGCGTTGTCAAGCTGAGGAATCGGTGGCAGGAGGCAGAAGGCCTCCGACGTCGAGCGCGCGTTCCTGAAGAGGCCATGGCAATGGTGGCAGCGGCAGCCGAAGCCGACGTTGGGAGCGAGGCCGTGGATGAGAGCAACGGCGGCAACTCCGAGGGCGGAGTCCAGGAGATCGTGGAGGTTTCGCGCTCGTTGGAGGCGGTGGCCGAGCTGCCGGCAGCCAGTCGGAGCTGGGAGGGCACCTGGCGGGGTCGGAGGTCGAGGAGGGGTCCCAGGAGGCAGCCTGGTCGGCTTCGGGAAAGGACGGCGCGCGGGATGCCAAGCGCCTGCTGGAGGAGCTGGGGCGCGGCGCCGCCCGGATCCACGCCGTCATGGACGAGATGGCCTTCCAGGGGCTCGGGCTGTACGTAGGAGTACGGCGGGCTCTCGGCGGGCTCGCGCCCGACGTTGCTGTCGATGGGGTGGGGCGGCGAGCGCATCAAGCGGCTGGGGCCCAGCGTGGTGCAGGAGCGGCTGGCGAGGCTGAAGCGGGGGCGCTCGACGAGTGCGGCAAGGGCCTGCACGGGTGAGGGCGAGGGCAAGGGCAAGGGCGAGAAGGAGTGCGAGGAGGCCTGTGCCCAGCCCGCAGCCTGGGCAGCGGCGTGCGGCCGCCGTCGCCAGCCGACGCCGCGGCGGCGGCGGGCGCCCGACGGGCGCGGCAAAGGCGGGAAGGGCTAGAACGCCTGGTACCGCGGGCAGGAGGTGCGGCCGCCGTCGGGTTGGCGGGAAGGTCCGCTGGTGAGGGCTGGCCTGGTTGGCGGCAGGTTTGGGGTTTCCCTGTAACGCCATCTCGTGTCATGCGGTGCCGCCGCCTCAGAAATCTGCGCGGGCAGGTTGAAAACTCGGCGCCCGCGCGCGCCGCGCGTGGGGCGCCTGCCGAGCGGCGGACCCTGGGGCCGCCGTTCGACACCGTCCGAAACGTTCCGAAACGTCGTCGTCGTCGTCGTCGTCGTCGTCGTCGTCGTCGTCGTCGTCGTCGTCGTCGTCGTCGACGTTATCGCCGCCGCCGCCGTTGCATCGTCGTCGATGTTGCCGGCGGAGGAGGAGGATGAGGTGGAGGATGGGGGGGGGCGAGGAGGAGGGGGAGTCGAGGGCGGTGTGTCGTTTCCGTTCCTGCTCTCCTTTTCCCGTCGTCGTTGCTGCCACTGCCGCCGCCGCCTCCGTCGTCGTCGTCGTCGTCGTCGTCGCCGCCGCCGCTGGCGTCGTCGAGGTCGTCGTCGTCGTCGTCGTCGTCGTCGTCGTCGTCGTCGTCGTCGCCGCCGCCGCCGCCGCCGCCTCCGTCGGCGTCGTCGTCGCGGGCCAAGGCTGTACTACCTGCGCGAGGCCCCTGGTGCCGCGACGGGCCGGCCCTGGACCGCAGAGGCGGCCCAGGTGCACCTGCAGCAGCAGGAGACGCCTCTGCACGCCCCGCCCCGGCTGGGAGGGAGGAGGGAGTTCCCCCTCTTCTTCCTCATTCTCGATCCCCCTCCTCTTCCTCTTTCTCGTTCCTCCTTGTTCTTCTCCTCTCTCTCCTTGAGGGACGTTCTCCCCTTCTCTTACTCCACCTCCTTCTCCTCCTTCAGGGGCGTTCTCCCCTCCTCCTGCTCCCGTTCTTCATCGCGTTTTCCTATTCTTACAACATCCGCCGCTCTGCGGTTGATCGGGAGTTTCTGTATATATAGAAGAAGGGGCGCGCGCTTCTGGGCGAGAGGGAAACGACCGAGAGAAGAAGGGGCGGCCGCCCCACAGGACCTCTCCATGGTGCCGGAAGCCCATCAGGGCTCCCTCAGGGCCCCTCCCCCAGGGCCGGGGCTCCCTCGCCTGCCCCCTCCCCCTCCTCCTCCTCCTCCTCCTCCTCCTCCTCCTCCTCCTCCTCCTCCTCCTCCTCCTCCTCCTTCGCCCCCGTCGGCATATCCAGGCGTGTTATGCAGTCAGGTCGTCCGTCCGGAAACGGTGCCGGAGGCCGCTCTGGGCTCCTCTGGGCATCCCCCCCGGGGCCCGTTTTGTGAGGATGTCTCAGGCGAGGGCGCCGGTTTGGGATTCGTCACCGGATCCAGCGGATCCAGCGGATCCGTCCGGAAACGGTGCCGGAGGCCGCTCTGGGCTCCTCTGGGCATCCCCCCCGGGGCCCGTTTTGTGAGGATGTCTCAGGCGAGGGCGCCGGTTTGGGATTCGTCACCGGATCCAGCGGATCCAGCGGATCCGTCCGGAAACGGTGCCGGAGGCCGCTCTGGGCTCCTCTGGGCATCCCCCCCGGGGCCCGTTTTGTGAGGATGTCTCAGGCGAGGGCGCCGGTTTGGGATTCGTCACCGGATCCAGCGGATCCAGCGGATCCGTCCGGAAACGGTGCCGGAGGCCGCTCTGGGCTCCTCTGGGCATCCCCCCCGGGGCCCGTTTTGTGAGGATGTCTCAGGCGAGGGCGCCGGTTTGGGATTCGTCACCGGATCCAGCGGATCCAGCGGATCCGTCCGGAAACGGTGCCGGAGGCCGCTCTGGGCTCCTCTGGGCATCCCCCCCGGGGCCCGTTTTGTGAGGATGTCTCAGGCGAGGGCGCCGGTTTGGGATTCGTCACCGGATCCAGCGGATCCAGCGGATCCGTCCGGAAACGGTGCCGGAGGCCGCTCTGGGCTCCTCTGGGCATCCCCCCCGGGGCCCGTTTTGTGAGGATGTCTCAGGCGAGGGCGCCGGTTTGGGATTCGAGCGGATCCAGCGGATCCGTCCGGAAACGGTGCCGGAGGCCGCTCTGGGCTCCTCTGGGCATCCCCCCCGGGGCCCGTTTTGTGAGGATGTCTCAGGCGAGGGCGCCGGTTTGGGATTCGTCACCGGATCCAGCGGATCCAGCGGATCCGTCCGGAAACGGTGCCGGAGGCCGCTCTGGGCTCCTCTGGGCATCCCCCCCGGGGCCCGTTTTGTGAGGATGTCTCAGGCGAGGGCGCCGGTTTGGGATTCGTCACCGGATCCAGCGGATCCAGCGGATCCGTCCGGAAACGGTGCCGGAGGCCGCTCTGGGCTCCTCTGGGCATCCCCCCCGGGGCCCGTTTTGTGAGGATGTCTCAGGCGAGGGCGCCGGTTTGGGATTCGTCACCGGATCCAGCGGATCCAGCGGATCCGTCCGGAAACGGTGCCGGAGGCCGCTCTGGGCTCCTCTGGGCATCCCCCCGGGGCGTTTTGTGAGGATGTCTCAGGCGAGGGCGCCGGTTTGGGATTCGTCACCGGATCCAGCGGATCCAGCGGATCCGTCCGGAAACGGTGCCGGAGGCCGCTCTGGGCTCGTGCTCTTCTCGCCGGGGGTGAGGATGACGTGAGTTCCACAGAAACTCCCTCAAATTATATCTTTATTGCCCCACCCCCCCCCCGCCCACCCACAAACTTGACCCCCCTCCAGGGACGCCCCGGACGCCCTTTCGGATGTGTCGGCGGCCCCCTGGACGCTTTTGGAAAAGGTCTGCTGGCCCTTCTGGGCCTCCCAGGGCGCCTTGACGGACCTTGCGAGCAGACTCAAGGCGATCAGAAGGGTCATTGGAAAGGCGCACGAGAGACCCAAGACACCACAAGAGCGCTCCAAGAGGAACCTCGATGGTCTGAAGACGGCCGAAGAGGCCCCCAAGACGCCCCAAGAGGGCTATAAGAGAGCCCTGAAGAAGCAAAAATCGTCCCATTCCCTGATTCCCAGAGGAAGACGTATATTTTTAGCATATCCGCTTTGGGGGTCTTCGCAGCGTCTAAGACGGCCCGAGGGGCCTCCGATATCGCTCCAAGACGGCCCGAGAGGCCCCCCAGAGGGTTTGAAGACGGCCTAAGAGGGCCCCAAGACTGCCC